CTGTAGTCAACTTTTTGATCGTATAAACATCTTTCTTGTCATCGCCTTTAAATGGCATCCGAAATACTGCCTCCTAACTCCATCCCCTCTTCATGTAATTTTGAAAAGTAGGCGTCAAATAATTTACTATTTACAGCGTCCTGACGGTGACAAAACACGTGAGCAAGAATTTCGGACACGGTATAATCTTCCACGAGTTTCCGGTCTTATGCGACCGTTTCCTGATCAAACTTCTGGCTCTTTCATGGCTGACTTGAGCCTGAGTGATGTGAATTCGGAAGGAATAAGGCAACAGATCATTTCAAGCTGTAAGTGTCGATCCTATGGGGTTTAATTCAGTAATGTGTGAAGTATTTTTCTTCAAAAAGACGGAGGTTATCGCTACCGAAAGATGCCTCGTCGAATTCAACTGCATCTGGATGTCCTTAGGTCGTATATGTATTTTCCTCTCTGAATAGATTAAATTTATGCCACTGTGCATCAGTCAAAGCCATGAAATTAAACTTTTGCAGGTGATCGCAAATGAAGTGCATTTTGCAGATCTCATACCGGGGACCGGTGAGCCAGGATCCACGCAGGCAATGGCTGGCACATTGAATCAGCACGTACCAACCGACAATATGTTCACAACAAGCCAGGATATCGATAAAAAGTTTGAAGTATTCCCGGAAGTACATATGAAAAGTGAACCAATTTATAAAACTGCTGCAGAATATGAAAGGTAATTGCCCCGGATGCAAGCATCATCCACGGTGCTGTGCAGCAGCTGAAAAAACGCATATTGTTACGGGGTCGTCTGTGTGTGTTTTTGTGTGTATGTGCATGTGTGTATGTGTGTGTCCGGTGCATTTTGTCCGCAACTTTCAGCTCAGGGGAAATACTCCCCCTCACCTGTGACCCAACAAACTTAAACCCAGAATTCTCGTACGCCCGAGTATCAAGTACGGTTCCGTGAAAGTTTTAGCAAGGGCAATTATTATCTCGGGAACCATGGAAGATAGAAAGCTGAAATTTTGGGATAACGTCTCCTGCCCACGTGTCACCTCGCAAATTCAAATTTCGGCATTCACGTACGCCTGGGCCTCAACTTCTCCGTAAAAGTTTTGACGAGAAAAATC